TGTTAGCACTCTTTTCCTCTTGAAATTACTTTGTACGTACCTTGTATTGCTTACTTACAGGTTATAACCTGCTTTGTAAAACGTATGCGACTTGAAGGGAACTGTTTCATTTTTGTCTTTGCATCTCCTGCACATAGTAGACACTTGCTTAATAAACTGAACGCTTTACATCTAAGGTCATTTATTAAGACCCAATATGATATATATACTGTATTTGCACTGGAAAATTTACAATTGTGATGTCCCTAATTTACAATTATACCAAGGTAAACAGGCAACCTCAGAAAAAGAATATGCAATCTGACATAAACAATATTTCCAGGAAAATGCTTACCAACCCCAAAACCATTTTATTAAGCACCCCCTAACTTGCAAGAGGCTTACTTTTACTCTCCTGGGCATATACAATATGCAAAAAACTAAGTATATACATGATTATTTAAGTACATTATCAACTATAGCAAGGCTTCTCAAACTTTTTCCACTTGTGACCCCCTCAACATTTCACGACCCACAGTTTAAGAAGCGCTGAACTAGAGGAAATCTATAAACACTTTCCACAGGAAATGATAAATGAAGTTGAAGGAAGTCAGGCATTCTAAGGGGTGGAGGTGAGAATGAAGCACATTTCAGATACAGCTGCCAGTCTGTTCAAAGGCCAATACAAAGGAAGGAGATGGAATATAGAATTCTAGGACCAGAAAGTAAGCCAATTTGGTTGGAACATAGCATGCATGAGAAATAAGCCAAGAGAGGTATGCTAAAAAGCTAGAAGGCAGAGGACTTTAAATGTCCTACTGAGAAGTTTGTGTTTTACCCTAGTGGCAACTGGGAGTCATGGAAAGTTCCTAAGAAGAATGACATAGACTTATCCTTTAGAAATATTTGATAGTCAAAGAGGGGCTAGATGGGAAAGGGGAGAAACTAGAGGCAGGAAGACCATTAGAAGACTACTTCAATAGTCTAGGTAAAAGGTGTTGAGAGCATCAAGTAGGTAGTGGCTGTGAAGACAGAATCTACATGATTGACTGAATGGGGAAAGAGGTGTTAATGAGAGAAAAGGTAGTGAATAATAGCAAAGTTAAAAGAACTCGTTGCTTTCAAGAGCTTTTGAAGCATGTTAATGCATACAATCTAATCACAATGTAAAGACTAGTAGTATGTACGGTACTGCTTTTGATACTTATAAATTATTTTTCATTCATTAAAATAGGATATTTCCCATACAGTATTCAATTAGCAGTTCAATTAATTTGATTAAAAATAAAAATTTTTAAATGTTCTAATTCAGACATGACCCAAAGCAAAATCATTTATAATGTATGCTATTTACATTAAAGTGACACACAATATGTACAAGCTTTAAAAAGTCACCCAAATAATAGTATTTTTCATCCTGTAGTATGTATGTGTTAAAAATCAGGATTCTTTTTTTAAATGTTTAAAATAAAATTCAACTATTTAATTAAGATAGAGAACTCAACCTCTGACACTTACTGAATAGAAGATTCTGGGCAAGTCATTTAACCTCTCAGTGCTGCCAGGCAACTCACTAACAAGATACGTAAGGGGCAGAAAAAGTTTCTGACAGGAGCTCACAGTGTTTGGATAAATCACTATAAACCCACTGGGTACTGGACTTGCAGTCAGTAAGACCTGGATCCAAACCTTGCCTTAGACATTATGTAGGATCTTGGGCAAGTCTTTACCTGTGTAGTGACTCAGTTTCCTCACAAGTAAAATGGTGAAGCTGGACTCAATGGCCTCAAAGGTCCCTTTTAGATCTCAATCTATGATCCTTTTAAAGGTGGATATTTACCTATGCAGTAATGTCTAGCTGTCATGGTAATTAGATATGCAAACAAGACAGAAATCAAAGATAGCTTCTAATTAGTAGGCTGACCTAAACTATAGCAGGGAAAAAAAAAAACTTCCAAGAAAAACATTTTTCATATTACCTACCTCAAACTTTCAAACATCACTTGCAATTTTCAATCAAGTAAATGTATTCTCCCCAAGACCAAAAAGACTGGAGATTGTCACTCTAGTTCACAAAGTGAATTTCTTCTGAGAGTATTGTTTACTATAAGGAAGAAAACATTCAGATCCCTCTAGAGGGGAGACCAGAGGGGTTTTTATCCTTAGCTCTTCAACACTTTTGGGTGCTTCCATTTCCTTGTGAAAAGATGATGGGAGAAAGGTAGAGTTCTCAGTTCACCTTCACTTACTTCACTACGGAAATAGTCTCTTTTTTCATTCTTCTTTATGATGGCAATAGGAAAGATTTAAGGCACACAGACATTTTAATTTTAATTGTCATGGAGGTGAAGGTAAGGGACATGAGTGTAGGAAAATTCAACCTAACTTTTAAAAGGAAGATATAGAAAAAAAAAACTTTCCAACTTTCTGCTTTTAGAATTAAGAACAAGGTACACAAAATCATTTAATAAATACAAGACAATAAAAATGAATACTTTTTTCTATTATATACTGTCAAAAGAAAGAATGAGAACACACAAAAAAGAGAAAAATACTGTTGCGGAATAAAATTTCAGCTCTGCAATGGAAATGATGCCTTTAAAGACGCTTAAAGCGCTGTTAAATTTTCACAACTCAAAGCACAAATACGGTTTTTTGTATTTATGCCATGACCTTGATAAAATTAAGTCAAGGACTAGACTTTTGCTACCTTTACCTAGTAGATTAGAGCAACAGAAGCTGTCTACATAAAAATGCTTTCTCTACAACACAGGTAAGTTATACCTGTGCATGTCAGAGGATTTTTGAAAATTTAATTTTAAAAACTGAAATATTTGAAAATTTAAAAGAAAAGCCTATGTAGTTTTTCAAAACAAAAGTATGTAGTTTAAATTTAAGCTACATTAAAACTCTGACGTCTACAAAAAATTTAATTTTTAAGTGTATAGTATTAAGGATAACACTAAATAACTTTTGATGAACTAAAATCCTATATTATGAACTTACATTTATAGAGATTTAGAAAGAGCAAGTACAGAAATGTAGACCACCCTAACCTCAATCCTATAGTAAATGTTCAGTCAGTGAAGAAAATCCCAAATATCTAATTAACTTCAGATGGAAATGATCAAGTGTCTGCTTTTAGTTTGAATGAATAAATCATTGTATTTTCTAACATAACTGCAAAATCAAATCTATCACTGAAAGTTTATACCTTCTAATACTCATAATTTATCAATTCTCATACATAGATTAGGATCACAGATTAGGTAGAGGAGGGGCCCTTAAAGAGCCTAGATGGATAAAGTGATTTACCCAAAGTCACTCATGTAGAATGAGCAGGAGAACAAAGGTCCCTTCCAGATTTAGTATTCTTTCCACTGCACCACTGACTCTCCTCAAGAGGGAACGTGGAATAGCAAATGCTGAACTTTGCAATAAAGAAGACCTGGTTCAGAATGTGGTTCTGCCATTTACTAGCTGTCCTGGCATGGACAAGTTACAACCTTCCTGAGTCTCAGTCATAAGATGATAGATTTAGAGCTTCAAAGGTCCTTAGAAGCCATCTACTCCAAACCCCTCATTTGACAGATGAAGAACTGGGGTCAAGGGAGATTAAATGCCTTGCCTGTGCTAAAACAGATGGAATGTGAACACAGATCTCCCTAATTCCAGCATTCTCTCCTCTAGAAGGGGGTGAGGAACCTGTGGCCTCGAGGCCACCTGTGGCCCTCTAGGTCCTCAAGTGTGGCCCTCTGACTGCATCCAAACTTCACATGAAGTTTGATCTGAAGTTCAGGTTTGTTCTTTGAAGTTTGGATTCAGTCAAAAGACTGAACCTGAGGACCTAGAGGGCCCCAGGTGCCCCACCCTTGCTCTAAACCATGCTGTCTTTCTATATTAATCCCCAGAACAGTTTTACTAAGTCATAAGTGGGCTGCACTGACAAGATTCCTTGATGTACTGACCTTCTAAAAATCTTTCAAAAGAATACTAAGTAGAAGAATACTTTTAGAAATAGTATAAAAATATTCTTCCACTAAAGTCATAGTATAATAATCTTATCCTTTAGAAATACTCTAAATGTATTTTTCCACTGAAGTCCTACTCTATGCATTACCATGTCAAAGAGATTACAACTGGGAAGACTTCAATATAGAATAAGGGCTGTAAATACTAAGGTTACAACAAAAAGATTGCATTTACCCTAGAAATGATGTGTTATATCAAACTTAGAATCAAGAGATCATTGGTTAAAAACTAGAAGAGATTCTGACAGACCAGCTAGACCAACCCTCTTTACATAGCTGTGGAAACTAAGATCTGGGTCCAGATGTAATAATCCTCAAGATTTTCAGAAGTAGAATGACACAGTGAAAAGCTTGCCAGTTTTGGAGTCAAAATCTGGCTATGCCATTTACTACCTGTGTGACTCCTAGGCTTGGCCTCAGCTTCCTTATCTGTACAAGAGGGTAGGATTAGATGACCTCTAAGGTCCTTTTCAACTACAAATCTATGATCTTATGATCCCAAATAATGATCTAAGGCTAACCAATGCTAACCAAGGCTAACACACTTTCCCACACTGCAAACAGGAAGGCATATTTTCAAGTTAGAATATAACTTATCTTAAACATCTTTCTATACAGTAGAATAAAGAAAAGTTTCTCCAGACTACAAAGCTTTCCCCCATAATTCATTAATCTTTTTATAACTGGGCTTATACTGGCTTCTGAAAACAAATTAATTTTTTAAATTAAAAAGTGAACACAGGCCTAAATCAAGAATTTTTCAAAGTGTAAAACTAGCCAATAGCAATCTCATGGCGAGCAGTTTCATTACTTAACCCAGTTCCATACCTGTTAAAAAACAAATATTCATTTACTATATGAATCTGACAGTTTACACTTAATCCTTTAACATATAGTTCAAAGTATTAACTAAAATTATTCAAAAAGGCAAATTTTAAATACTGGTAAATTTATTAAAAGGATTGAGCTTTAAAATGTTAATGAAATTACCTCGGAGAAGAAAGCCTTCTCCTTTCTGGTTCTCTCCGTTTTCTTTCCACTGATCGACTCTTTGCTCTTCTACCAGGAGACAGAGTTCGAGATGGTGATTTACTTTGCTTGGATCTCCGATCATTAAGTAGTGGGGACCTACTCCGTCTTGATTTATCACGCTGTTTTGGAGATAAACTTTTTCCTTTAGGACTACGACCTGGTCTTCTACTTGGGGACCTATTTTCTTTCCCAGAGGAAGCATCTTTAGAGGGAGATTTAATTGGCTTCTTTTCTTTATCAGTCTCAGATCGTTTGGATTTTCTATCTTTGGATCGTGACCTTCTGTCTTTGGATTTGCTTCTTAGTTCTATGGGAGATTTGGATTTTTTTCCACGGTCACGACTTTTGCTTTCATTTACAATTGGGGATTTCTTTCGATCTTTTGATTTACTTTTATCTTCTAATTTAATCTTATCCTCAATAGGGGATTTGGCCTTTCCAATTTTCTCCTGAGATCGCCTTTTAAGTGCTGGCGATTTTGATTTTCTTGCTTGATCTTGAGATTTGCTTCTTTTAGATGGACTTTTGGACTTTTTTCTTTCTTTAGACTTACTTCTGGTTGTTTTTTCTTTAACTCCTTCAACACTTCCCTTGCTTTTCTTTTTATCAGATCTATGTCTAGTCCGTTCTTTTGATCTGCTTTTGCTTCGTTTCTTTGAACTATTTTTATTGTCTACAAGTTCAAGTTTCCCCTTAGTGTTTGATGACCTAGCAGTTGATCTATTCCCATTTCTTGCCTTCTCGTGTATTTCTCCCTCTTCTTCAGAGCCTGACTCATACCCCTGCAATATTAGTCCCATCCCAGACTGAACTTTTCCTTCCATTAACTCATTATCAAGTTCAGCTTTAATCAAAGCTCTTTGTTTCTCCAAGTCTTCCAGCAAAGCTAAGTCATCAATTTTAGTTCTTTTTGCTGGAGATGCACCTTCTTTGTCAGAGGCATCAATAACCTCTTTTCGTTTATGTTTCTTATGTTTATGCTTATGTTTATGTTTTTTGTCCTTGTCATCTTCTGAAGAATGTTTATGTTTCTTGTGTTTGTTTCTATGTTTGTGCTTCTTTTTTTTGTGTCGACTGTGCTTATTTTGAGATTGGTCCTCCTCTGATACTTCTCCATTTTCTTCATTTATGCTCTTTTCAGAATTATCTGCATCTTCCATCCTATAAATATATAAAATAAAAAGCTTAAAAATCCCATCATGTAATTATATAAAATGACTCATTTTTAAAATAATTTCTAGATATTACATTTTTGAAAAGCACTAAAAGATACCATCAAACCAAAGTATTAATGATTTAGCATTCTTCTCAGAACATTATAATAGCTAGCATTTACATAGCATTTTAAAGTATTCTAAATGCTTTACAAATATTATCTCATTTGATCCCCACAACAAACCTGAGAGGTAGGTGCTATTAGTATCTCCATTTTACAGCTGATGAAACTAGAGGCAGAGAGAGGTTAGATGACTTTCCCAGGGATTACACAGCTAGAAGCATCTGAGGCTGAATCTGAACTCAGGTCTTCCTGACTCCAGGCCCAGTACTCTATCCCCTGTGCCATGCAGCTGCTACACATAATGTTCTACGCACAAATGAATTATATTTGAGAGTAAGGATTGCAAATGTTATCACAAATCAGTCCCTTTCAAAAAAAAAATCATGAAAAACTATTACCTCTCCACTTCTACCTTCCTGGAGAGGATGAAACAAATGTGCTTGAGTGAAGGGGAGGGATACCTCCCTTTTACCCCACAACTCCCATCCCAGCCTTTAATGGCTGCCTTGTAGACTTGAGACCTGAGAATTAACTTTTTAAAGAAAACATCTAGGACAATGGTAATTATCAAGATTTCCTGTAGAAGCATATAGTTGGTTCATAGTAAAGGCTGATATGTGCTTGCCTCTTTGGCCTGGGTTATACGAGTTCTTAAAAGTTGCCTGATAGAAAGGAACAACTGGTAACAAGGAATTGGTATCTTGCTACCATTCTCCTACCCTCTACTATCATAACAAATTATTCAGATGATGTAGGTCTGAGAGGAGATGGATTATATCTCCCAATTGATTCTTTTCTAGCAATTATCTGTTGCTGCTGTTTGTCCTTCATTCTTGAAGAGGACCATGACATCAGGTAGGTGATACCATGATGTGAAAGTCAATGGATTTAAGTGAAGGAGAGCAGTACTCTAAACAACAGGAGGAGAGGATGGAGCACTCTAAGATGACAAGTAAAATTAGGATTCAGCAGGGTGAGGTATAAGGCAATGTAGTATGCCAGTAGTATTAAGATCTAGATTTGAATTCAGTGGACTTCGATTTAAATCCCTGCTCTTTCACTTACTGTCTGTTGTGAGCTGCTTTTTGCCAGAAGTGAAAATATTCCTAGTTAATGCCCTAGTTACAGGAACCCTGTATATGAGTTCTTAAAAAGTTGCCTGATAAAAAGGAAACAACTGGTAACAAGTAATTGGTATCTTGCTACCATTCTCCTCTTGTAAGCAGGTCTCTCTCCAACCTTATGTAGGTCTTGCCACAGAAAACAGTACAGGCTCTCTTAATGTGAAAGGTGTTCATGCTCCAAAGGAGAAAGATTTTAGTCCTTGATAAATATAAGGAGGATAGCTGGGAAACGTTATAAACTCTTAACTAATTGGTAGGGAGAGGGGGAGGAAAAGAAAAATCCTAAAGAACTAAGGTGATGCCAGGAGACTAGAAATAAACAAATGTTATCCTAATCTTCAAAATGAGTAAAACTACAAACCACTGAGACTTAATTTTTAACAGTTTATTAAAGTCATGAACATTAATCTAGGGTGAGAATAGATTCAGTGAGCCCATACATGATATTATAAACAAACCACTAATTTTTGGATAGGATTACTAGACTAATAAGTCTATTCAGCAAGTGTATCTTGATTTCAATAAGGGATTCAGAAAATCTCAGGACATCTTTATAAACAAAATGAAGCTATGTGGACTGGATTATAGTACATTTAATTAAACAGATTTGTAACTGGTTGAACAACCATAACCAGAGTATATTATAGCTCAATGGATTGATGTCAATCTAGAAGGATGTCTCCAGTGGCATGACAGGGCTCTACATGGTTCAACACTTTATCAATGTAGTTATGATTTTCAAATCTGCCATGAACACAAAGGGAGAAGGGGCAGCTAAAACATTCAGTAAATCAAGATTCAAGAAGATCTCATAGTGCTATAACTCTAAGACCAAACGAAATGAAATTTAATAAGGATAAAAATATTTAGCAAGGTACATAATTATGTAATATCATGCAAAGACATAGATGGTTTTCTGTCTGAGCCCTTTCTTATACCACAAGTTCCATAAGGGCAAGGACTATTTTATTTATTTCAGCGCTATCAGTTGAGCTGAATATTTTTTCTGATTAAAAAATCCTATTCGGGTTAAAAAAAATTTATCCAAAAAAAGACCTAGAAGCATTTTAATGTAATTTTATGCCATATTAACTGAAATACAGTGTCCATATATGGATGACAATAATTCACTGTATCCTGCACTGGTCAGACAAGTGTTGTGTTCAATTCTGGGTGCCCTGTTTCAATAGGGACACTGACAAAAAATATTTCAAGAGCTGTCATGTGGAAGAGAGAACAAACTTTTATACTGACCAAAAGGGCAGAACTAACACAAACAGGCAGAAGTGAAGCAGAAGATTTCATCTTAATCTAAGGAAGAACTTTCTAGCCAGTTTGACTGTTAAAAAAAAAAATGAAAATAAGCTATCTCCCACACTGTCTTCAAGGTAGGTATTCAGACAGAGGATGGATAAACATTTTTTAGGAATGTTATCAAGAGTCCTCACTAAGAAACTAAGATTATCTCTTTAAGTTCCCTTCCAAGACTAACATTCTATAAGGCTGATATGTTTAAAATAGTAATATAATTAATCTGTTTGTTCTGGATAACTCTATAGCTGATAGTTATTTCGGTGTTTCAAAGATATTATCCATGCAGACACTCCATCCATAGAAATAAATAACAGATAACAACTCTACTGAAACAAATAATAGGTAACAACTCTATGAAGATGGTGTTTGTAAGGTGAAAAATCAGTAGGTGGCAGCAACCAGGGGCTTCAGAGGTGGGGAACCTGCAGCCTCAAGGCACATGTAGCCCTCTAAGTGAATCCAAACTTCATAGAATTTGTTCTGAAATTTGAATTCAGTCAAAGGGCTTCACTTGTGGACCTAGAGGGCTACATGTGGCCTCCAGGCCACAGGTTCCCCGCCCCTGGGCTACACTGTTCCTATGATGACAAACAATCTGTTGCTGGGACTATACTTGAAATGTCATCAGCTTGGTAGAACCGGCCAAAGCTTGTGCTCTGTTAGCAGTTAACAGACCTTGAGGAGTGGGGGAGGGAAGAGAGAGGAATCTGTTACCTGAGTATCATGACCCTGCAGAGTAGGACTTCAGTGGAAGGATTCTTTTTAAGTAAACATATTAAGCCATCTGTGTTCTTCTCTATTACAGTCTGAATCTAACTCTACACAGATTTTATTTTCTCTCTCAGAAAACACTATTTGAATTTGTATTTTCGTTGTAAGACCATTTGCTTAGTCTAGTCATGGAAGCCCAAATTCATTGACAAGACTTGCCCAATAAGAACAAACATGAAAATCTTGAAAATACTGTTAAAAGTAGCCGTCTTCCTAGAATATCCAGATCCAATCAAATGACCCTTTTTTTCTGTAAAGTTGTTTTAAGAGCTAGTAAAGTTGACAATTCACTTTACCATTGCCTTCTAAGCTCCTCAGAAATCCTATTTAACTCTTAGGGACACCTGTTTTCATTCCCTTTGGATTCCTTTCTCTTCAAGCTTAGTTTTAGCAGCTGACTTAGCTTCCTCTATAACTGAAAGACTGAGGGCTTTGAAAGAAAGTTTCTTCAATTTCCTTCTTTCTACTCAAAAGTTGTGAGCATCATCATTCATTCTTCTCTCCTTTCTTATTTCAGAAAAGGGAGTAAACCTACTCCTAGCTCAAATTAATTCTCTCTACCTATAGCTTGACTGCATCCCCTATCACCAATTGTGGGACATTGCTCTAGTTATCAGAAAGAGCAAGGTTTTAAGACAGAAGCTTACTTCTGTCTATTCTGAGTTTGATGTACTGGTGAGGAATCAGGAATTTTCCAGTGAATAAGCACCATCAAGGGGCAAAAATTATCCCTTTTTCCCTGAGAAAAAGGACCTAAAGCAAAATTACCCCCCTGTATTTAATATAGCTTAATTGGCTGTCTGGCTTTGTTATTAGACAAATTTTTTTAATTTTGCACAATATTGCTGATGCCTCTTAAACCCTGTTCTAGTAAGAGGCAAGAACAGAAATTAAGCCTGTTTATAAACCTTAGTCCTAGTAAAGCAGTATCTACCCCAACTAAGAATGACCCATGCTGCAGATAATAACAGCCCTCAATCATATCACAGCAACAAAGGGGTTTCCTTTTCTGGCATGGAGATGCCTTGCCTGCACTTAGAACCTTCAGGTGGTCCTAGTTTTTCTGGAAGTGTCAGGAATGTAAAAGTCTGTATAAACTACAAAGGGCCTGTACTGGCTGAAAAACTAGTTCTAGGTTGCCACTGATAAGTCAAAGGAGATTTGTTTCTTCAGTGCTAATAAGCCAGGCCATATTCCTATGTAGCTTCCTAAGTTTGTATGGTGATGGTGAAAAGTTTCAATACTGGATGGGGACAGTTGAATTCAGGCTGTCACTAATTAAGCCACTATAAAAAAAAGAAAATTCATTATTTCTGTAGTTACCAAATTGCTTTAGTGTTTGATATTTAAAAAAAAAAACAGATACTTTATCTTGAACAGTGAGTTTTGCGTTTATTGCCTCCTGATCTGGTTTTTGTTGTCCCTGAGACGTCCAGGTGATGTCATATAAGACAAGTATAAGTAATTGACTCAAGATGCAGAATGAAAGATGCATTCTTATACATGGTCAGTATGTTGGTTTGTTCTGCTGAATTATGTACATGTGTCACAAATAAGGGTTTCTAATTGAGGGGTTAGATAAATATACTCCCCAAAAGTGTAATTAATAAAAACATTATTAAAAGCACAGAAAAGGAAAAAAGCTTCTAAAAGGAAAGAAACAAGCAGAGCAGGTTTATTACCACCCTGTTAAATTGAAATACAGAATGCTTACACATATATGTAATACATACTTCTTTAAGAAAAAAACCATAATCAAGATTCAATGTTTCTTAGGTAAGCTACTTGTTCTTTTTTTTTTGAATATTGAATTATATATTTGTTGATGATTATTAAATAACAGTGAAAAAAAATTTTAAATAAAACTTTACAGAAGTTGGGAGGAGGAAATGAGTTTCACTTTGTATATGCCAAGCTGGAGATGAAGAGATGTTCAGTGATTAAAGACTGATGTTCGAGGGAGACACTTGGGAAGGGCATAATTTTGCTAAGTTTGCCTGATGTGGTTACTCTAACCAGTTGTTTTTCTAAACTTTTTTTTTTCCTTGTTACAAAGGAGTGTTCAATTCCTAATGGAAAGGTGGTCATATCATACAAGCAGATAACAGTGTGTAAAAAACCAAAGGACCAATAAAACTTTAAAAAAAAAATACAGGTATCAAGCTCAGAGGTAATGCTCAGATAAAGAGATATAGCTAGCTCTTTTCTGGCTTCAATCTTCTATCTCTTCATGGGTTCTTCTCCATCTGTCCATAAATATGCTCAAGTTTCCCAAATTCTGAAGACTTCCCCCTTCGTGGTCAAACTTCTTGGTTATGAATAATTTTCCTCACCACCAAACCTTTATTCTCCTTGGACTCTCTAGTATTTGATACTGTGGACGATCTTCTCTTTTCCCTTGGCATCAAAGACAATGCTCTCCTATTTCTCAAACAGATCCTTCAATTTCCTTCACTTTCTAGTTCCTAGTCCTCTTCCAGACACCTTTTAAATATTCCTCCAAAGTATGTCCTTCACTTTCTTTTCTTCATATAATTAATCACTTGGATCCTTCAGATAAGTTATTTTGGATTTCCCTGAGAACTTTACTCCCAGGGCTTCAACTATTGCTTTTAGGCAATTTTCAAATCTGTATCTCTCCACCTGAACTGTTCCAACTATGTATCTTATACCTCTCCACTAGTACATCCAAGTTACATCTTAAAACTAAACTTAATTTTTCTCCCAAATCTAGTTCCTCCTCATGACCTCATAATTTCCATCAAGGGCATAAACATTCGCTCAGCCTTCCAGGGTTTAATTATTTTGGGACAAGAGAGCTAAGGGAGGAATTAATTCTACACTTATAATCTTTCTCACATTCATCCCCTTCTCTAAATTTCCAAAACAACTATGTTGGTAGAAGCTCTCATTGTGAACGACTATGAAAGTAGCTTCTAACAGGAGTTCCTGTATCTAATTAGCTTTCAGCTCTCCATCACTCAAAACATCCTTCATACCGCTGTCAAACATTACGCAGAGAAAGTCATGCAAGTTCTCTGTCCCAGATCTTTCCTAGATTCCCACTGATTAATCAGTAAAGGTTCAACTTCCTTAGCTTGTCATTCAACATACAATCTAGAGCTAACTCGTTTTTTAGAGTTACCTCACATTAATCAACCCTTTATATTCTATGATCCACATAAACTTGACTACTTAACTTTCTAGTTTCCATGCCTTACTGTGTTTCCTATGCCTAGAATACTCTCTTCATCCTCTCTACCTGAACTCCTGCCCACCCATCTAAAGCAGGGCTTTTTAACCATTTTTAATGTCACGTTCCACTTCTCAGAATGTTTTAAAATGTATAAAATATACAGGATTATTAAGGCAATCAATTAAATTGAAATACAATTATAAAAATATTTTTCAAACAAACAAAAACAAGATCATGGATCCCCAGGTTAAGAACTCCTGTTTTAAAGCGTAACCCTGATGTTACCTCCTTCAGGAGGTTTTCTTTGAACTCCCTTCCCCATCAATGATTACTTTTCTACTCAGACCTTTTATACAACCTTTGCTTCCATCTCTTCAGGCACCTATGAAATATTATTTTGATCTTTTATGACCTAATTAAATATCCTACTTATTGCTGTGTGCCCTATCACCTTATTATTCCGTAAATTCCAAGAGGGCAGGGGCCTTGAATCTTTTTATCTCCCTCTACATTTAATAAAGCATTCTCTGCACACAAATGTTTAACTAAATTTAAACAAGTTAATTTGTTGACATTTAAAACTGTAGTTGGGTGAACAGTTTTCAAACTACTCAATAAATATTCACAATGTTACTGTTTCAAATCCAAGGATCATTACAATGCAGGAATACTTAGGACATTATTTTCAAAACAGAAGCAGAAGAAAATAATCAGGCAGTGGGAAAATTAGTAAGATGCTAGGATGTGAGATCTCAAGACACTGGAATGTATGAAAAGTCTGTAGGAAAGCTGAAAGACCATCAAAATATTAAATACTGTTAATTTAACCATAGCTTCTTGTAAACTTAAGAATAATGTCCTCTTTTGTGTTTACATCTTGGATTTCATTTTGAGGAAAGTAATTCTCTGTAAGAATTTACTGGACAGAGAGTTTGTCTGAGTCAGAAGACCTGGGGTTCAAATCCTGCTGACCCATGTGCAACCCTCAGATTTTATTATATGCTATAATACTACTACTTAATATTAAGACTAAATTAGATACTTTAAATATCTGTTGGTTCACCAGGTACAAATTTTCCCCTGAAATGTTTAAGGGACTCAAAGTAGGGCATAGGCTTTTGCCCTACTTTTATTTTATATTAAGGTCCTAGAGAGCAAGGACAAAACTTATTTATCTTTATATTGCCCCTATTTCGCCAAGTGGCGTCCACCAGTCCAGATTACCTTCCATCTATCTATTCTCTACATAACATATGTACCTAGTTATTTAGGCATTGTAAATACAATACTCTTTAGAATGAGGGCTCCTTGAGGGCAAGAACTGTGCTGAACTTTCTCTGTACTCCTCAGAGTTAAGCACTTAAGGCTTGTTAACTGGTATTCAGATAATTGCTGAATGATTCAAACAGAAATCTTAACCCCTCGAAAAACAATCCAGATATCTCACAGTAGTTGCAAAACTTTTTCAATATCCATTTCCTTAATTAGTTATTGCAAGCTTTTGGACTGGTTAATAGAAAAATAAACTTCTAGCACAAAGCATTCTTCTAGTTCCAGTTGTGCCACAAGTTAAATAGGTTTGGCATCAACTTGGAAATCTGATTTCCTGTGTTAGATTAGAGAGAGTTTTAAAAGACTGCTAACTATAAACTGTTCAATATTATAGCTGGGAAAGGTAGAAAGCTCATTTTTAGGGACTCAGAACTGGGGTACTAATATATAAAGGCAACTTCAGTTACAGTTCTTCCAGCTGAAAAACTTTCGTCTCCAACTCACAAATGTCAATGATACCAACTACATTTTCCCCCCAAAGGCAGTTATACACCTTTCTTATTTGCAGCTTTTGAGGGGTGTGAATCACAAACTATTTTTAGTCGATGGACAAAAAACATATTTGCACAGCATAACAATACTGTTTTTTGGATCTTTATAAGTTACTAAGTACATTAGCTTTTTTGCAGACAATCCTCATTTTTACTAGATTAACTGCTTCGTCCTCTCATTCTTATAAAGGGTACAATCTGGAGCCAAACTTAAAGGCGTTGATACGGTAAGGTACCACTATCTTACTACCTTAAGTTTAATTGTTGGTGATCAGAATGCCAATAAATGCGGGGAAACGTACTGGGTGGCTCAAGGAGTTGGGTGGTCTTCCTCCCTGCCGCCATCTGCCAAAAAAATAGTCTGTGATTTAAGTTTTAAACTGAGCGATCAAAAAGTGCCTGCGCTGCCCTCCCCTCCCCGATCCTAAATCTCATTACACGGGGATAGGGTGACAAAAGCAAGGCAGGGTACACATGGAAACAGCCACACGTCCGCCCCTGGAACCCACTCCGAGCGCGAGGCCACAGCAGGCAGCTCCCCAGCCCGCTTCCGGAGGGGCTCCAGGGAGGGGCGATGGAGGCACCGGCCACGCGCACCGGACCTGTAGAGGCCGCTCGCGCCTGCGCCTCCCGGGGCAACGACGCGCGTCAGGCCGCAGCCACCTCGGGTTCTAACAGCCACGACCGGAGCAAGAGGGCTGCAGAGCGAGGCTTGCGAGCGGCCCGCCAACTCACCGCTGTCCTCCTGTCGCTGACACTGCGTCCTCCACTCCCCACAGCATAACAGAAAAAGAGAGGCAAAGTTTGGTTCTCGCTCTTAGGCCTCAACTTCCCTTCCCCCCCATGCAGTTCAGCCATATCAGCCCTGTGCTTCTCCTCCCTGGCCTTGGCCTTCCCGCCGTTACGTTCCCGAGAATTATCACTTACTGAGGCGCTTCCCGCGGCAGCTGAGACTCCACGGCGGCCATTTTGAACTTCCCGACTCCTTGGCGGCAGCGGCGGCGGCTGCCGGGACAGGGGAAGGTGGTAGTTGGAAGGGAATCGTCGCGCATGCGCTCCGCTCGGAGAAGAATGAAAGGAGGAATGAGTCCTCAATAACAATCCGGATATGAAACCCTTCATCCGGGGGGTGGAGCGTAAGGACGTCCACATGCACTTCCGGAAGGCTCCGAGGCGCCGTGATACGTTCATATCTCCCACGGAGGTTAATGTTCCTAGTTATTATTTGGGGCAGTAATTAATTAGTTTTAAAAACTAACTTTCTAAAGATTCTCGAAGGATTTTGCTTTTACAAATAAGCGTACAAAGAGGGCGTACTGTTTGCATCCCTTCTTTGTCCTGTTTTTCCTGGCCATCCCCCAATTTACTGTCTCCAAAGCAAGAATTCAGTTACCATGTTTTGGTATAGATTTGGACCAGCAATTCAAAATGCCCCAATTCCAGGCAGGTGTTAAGGAACTGTGATTTCGTAGGTGCGCTATGTAGCAACTTCGAAGATCTCAACCTTTTTTTGTCCCCAGTATTTTTAAAACTTGAGACAGTTTGCTAAGGCTGAGGAGTTAGCCGACCACTCTAAAGCCACACAGTAGTAAGTTTCACTGGTAAAACTTAAGCCTAGGTCTCTCAACCATGTAACAACCTCTCAACGCTAAGTTTATAAAGAAAATAAAATTCTTTGCACGTTGGTTCATCCATAATTTATTATTGGGAGGCAGGGACAAAAATATTTTTTGTGGAATTGTGTGTACTATTGACTCTCCAAGAAGGCAATAAAATAGATGCCTGTGAAATATTGGAAGGTATGGGTAGGAAAAACGACTTTTCCACCAAATCCGAGAATAAAAAGATGAGGGGAAGGGAAGCAACTCCTAAAACACCTTTTGGTAGAGTCATTCAAGCTTTAAAAAAAAAAAGACAGAGAAAGCTTTAGATAAACTTTTACATCCCAAAAGACATAAAGGCAAAGTAGAGATATTTAGAGTACATCACTGCTTTTTTTAGTTTGACATTCCCCATACCCTTTAACAAAGTTTGGTATTTCTTAGGTTTTAATCTTTTGATCAAGCTAAAGAGGGACCATTATCTGGAAAAAGGATGGCCTAGAGGAATTCAAGATATATTTCATGAAAACCAAAAAAGGGGAGTTTATACTCCTCTTGATTTCCATGACACTGATCTTTCTTGGTTGTCCAACTTCCTCTCAGACTCCTTTTTTTCAGTCTTCTTTGCAGGATCATTATCCAACTTCTCTACACCATCAGTATCGTTGTCCTCCAGGACTCTGTCCTGGGCTTTTTCTGTTCTCATCTGGTACTATGTGTTTAAGTGTCATGTTTGATACTCCCAAATCTATATATCCAGGCTTCATCAGTCCCCAGAGTTCAAGTTCCCCATCACCAACTATCTGCTGGACAGTCATTCAAGAAAGGTAGTCCTTGCTTACATTTTAATGAGGGAAAGCAATAATAAAAAAGGAGCTGAAAGGGGGAAGGAGGTATGCAATAAGGGGGCATGGTAGAGAAAGTCCTGTGGAAAAGAGTCAGCAGAGCAGCCTCGAAAGGAACCACGACTTCATATGGTTAGATAGCTTTAATTAGATATCTAGATATATCTACTGTATGGAATGTTCAGGAAGTCTAGCGCCTCTGGTGTGAGGACTTGCCAAGCCCTTTTTGGGGCTGCTCATCCACCTTTGGCATTTACCTGATTCACTCAATTCTCACCTGTGGTTCCATGAAGCTATAGCATACTCGAAAGCCATACCCTGGTAAACCATCTTGGCAGATGGGCTAAACCAAGTTGAAGGTAACTGACATGCCTCAAACCTGTAAGTGATTTAGAGGAATGTCTACCAGGAGCATGTGAAGACTTCCCCCAGAGGAATGGGCAGATGAGAACAATTTGTTCCAGTGGCCATCAAGGCAGCTGAAGCAGGTGCTGTGAAGTACTTAGAGTTTGGTCAGACATTGAAGATGCCAAGGTCACCCACTGCTTCCCAGGCTACATAACTGGTTGTCAGACTTTTGTCTTGCCACTGGACCTCAAATGACTCAGGAAGAGAGAGTGAGGCTAACTTTGTAGCTCTGCCTCACAAAGGACAAACAACAGTTTGAAGTTACCGCTTCAAATTATTTGTCTAAAACTGAATTTATTATGTTCCCCTCTAAACCTGCCCTTTTCACACTTAACTATTAATGTTGAAGGCACCATCATTCTTTAAATTATCACAATTTACCACTCTTCCATCTCCCCAACATCCAATCAGTTGCCAAGTCCTATCGATTTTACCTACATAACATCTCTTGTATCTGTTCCCTTCTCTCCACTCACATGCCACCACCCTACTTATCTTCTTGTTTAAAACTATGGGATAATCTTCTACTTGATCTCCTTGTTTCTAGTCTCTCCCCTCTGTAATCCACTCAGATGCCAAAATAATATTCCAAAGGCACAAGTCTAGCCATGTTATACCAGATACTAAGGAGGAGCTTCCACTCTTAGCTTTCCCCTCCCCCTTCTCCCTATGCCTCCCAATGGGTGACTGCCTCCCGTAATCATTATTTCAGGAAAGCCCTGAGAAATGCTTCTCTTCTCTTCCTCCTCTCCTGGCATCTTTAATTGCATTCTTGACTACTATGTCACACTATTGTCTCATATTTGATACTCTATTCAAAACCCCCAGATATTTTTCAGATGAATTTCTATCTAGGCATGTCCCCCCCACCCTCCTTTCTTGTATTGGTGATATTGTTTGAATCCATGTGTATGACTTTATTCCAATTCAGTCTTTTTTATGTGATCTTTTTATTCTGAAATTAACAAATGCATATTTTCATATACATAGCATAACATTAGAGGATTGTGCATGAAACAGTATTTCTTCTTGCTTTTCTTTCAAATATATGTAATAATTCACCATAACAAGTCAATAAGTATTTATTAAGTGTTTAAAAGCAAATAGTCCTTGCTGCCCTCAAGGCATTTTACATTTTAAATCAGGAAAGCTGAAAATGTACATGGGAGTGGGGAGGGAGGTCTGTGTTTCTTTCTGGCCTTCTGTGTTACAGTTTAAAAAATAGCTGCTTCAATTAACCTTTTACTTCCTTTCCTTTTGTTTTGTTTGTTTGTTTTACTACGATATTCCTAGAGCAGTTAGGGGCACAATGGATAGAGTTTTGGGCCTGGAGTCAAGAGGATCTAAGTTCAAATCAGTCGTCTGACATTTATTAGCTGTGAGATCCTTGGCAAATGATTTAACCCTGTTTACCTCAGTTTCCTCATCTGTAAAATAAAGTGGAGAAGGAATGAAATAGCAAACCATTCCAATATCTTTGCCAAGAAAACCCAGATGGGCTCACAATTCCTTTCCTAGCCATTATACTTTCCCACTGGGGGAAAAAAAACTTTGTAAGAAATAATTCATAGTCAAAACAAAGTCCAGTATTGACAGTCTGATATGTCTTATTTTATATCCTAAGTACATCACCATCATTGTCAGTTCATCACTACATTATTCAAAGTCCTTCTATCTTTCAAAGTTACCTTTCTTTACATTGTTGTTATAGTATAAACTGTTCTGGTTCTGCTTACTTCACAAGTATGTCATAAGTAAGTTACATACAAGTCTTCCTGGGTTTGTCTGACTTTACCCTTTAGTCATATCTTATGGTGCAATCATATTCCATTACATTCACCTACCATAATTTGTCAAGCCATTCCCCCATTAATGTGTACCCCTTTAGTTTCCAGTTTTTTTCTACTATAAAAAGAGCAGGTATATTTTCATATATAACCAATGGTAGTCAATTAGCATTGCTACCTAGTAGGCACACTTATTAGGTGCCTGGCACTGAGCTAACTAAGCACTGGGGATACAGAAAGAGGCAAAAGCAGCCCCTGTTCTCAAGGAGCATACAATCTAATGAGGGAGACAATATGCAAACAAGTGTATACAAAGCAAGCTGTATATAGGAAAAATAGGAATTAATTAAACAGAGGGAAAGCACTGGACTTAAGAGGGGCTGGGGAAGACTTCCAGTAAAAGAAGAGATTTTAGTTGGAACTTAAAGCAAACTAAAAAGGCCAATAGTTGGAGAGGAGTTGGGAGAGCATGAAGGACAGTCTGAAAAAATGCCAGAAGTGGAAAGATCAAATGAGGCCAGAGTCATTCGTCGGAAGAGTACTGGTTGTGGAGTAAGAGATAAGACTGGAAAGGTTGGAGGGGGCTAAGTTATGATGGGCTTTGAACATCAAACAGGGTTTTGCATGTGATCCTTGGAAGTGATGCGAAGTCAGTGCAGTTTTTCTTGAGGGCCGGTGAGGGGCGGGGCAGGGGTGTGTGACATGATCAGACTAGTACTTTTGGGAAATCACTTTAGTGGCTAAATGGAAGATGGATTGGGGTGCGTGGAGACTTGAGATAGGGCCCACCAGAAGGCTATTGGAACAGTCAGATGTGAGGTGATGAGAGCCTGCACTAGAGTGTTGGCAGTGTCAGAAGAGAGAAGAGGCATATTGGCGAAATGTTGTGAAGGCAAATCTACAGGCCTTGGAAACAGATTGGATACGGGGGTGGGGGGAGAAAAAGTAAACGAGCGATAATGAGGAACCCATGGTGATATCTAGTTTGTGAGCATGAAGGACTGGGAAGATGGTGTTGCCCTCCACAGTAATAGGGAAGTTGGCGGGGAGGAGAGGGGCGGATTACAGGAAAGATAATGAATGAATACGTGAGGACTTTTGATCAAACAATTTAACAGGTATGTGAAAACTGTCCAAGCTCAGAAGGAACTCAACGTCTAATGAAGGAGACAACATGTAAACAACTGTGCACAAACAAGATATAGACTGGATCAACTGGAGATAATTTCAGAGAGAAGGCATTAAGATTAAGGAGGCCCCGAAAAGGCTCCCTGAAGGAGGCAGGGCTTTAGCTGAAACTTGAAAGAAGCTCGGAAGGCTACTGTGTCTTTGGGCTATACACCTGGAGGAGACATGCCTGGATTAGAGCAAGTACAATTTCTTTCCATCGTAAATTGAAAATAAAGGTTTTGTTGTGTAACAGTTCGACTCCCTG